GGGCAACTTAGACATTGGCTACCTAAAATGAGGGGGCAATAAAGGCACGAAGTGACTGGCTTACAAGGTTTCAAGAGGGGGTTTAGCTTAAGAGTATAGGGGGAAAGAAAGAGTCCCCACTGAATAGCTGTCATTTTGTCTAGATGGGTCTGGTGAAAAGAGATGGGGAAAAGATTTGTAAGATTCAATAGTGAATAACTGTTATCATGACTAATTGCGACTGTCACAATTGTAAATGTAGAAGTATTGTAACAAAAAAAGGGGAGTGCTTAATCTTACAGTCCAGAAACAGAGGATCCTAGGACCATCAAGAGAGAAGCGCACAAGCAGAGTGTGGGACCTTATCCAGAGAAGCAGAGCCAGAGATGGGGATATGGAAAGGGGGAGTGGCTGAGGACTCTAGATTCATGGACTAAGAAGAGAAGGACTAAGAACTGGTGGCCAGGAGCAGACTATAAAGAATGTGCCCTTTAGAAATGTAAATTATTATATATGCCTTAGTGGGTTTGTTTGTCTGTTTTTAAAAAGCTAAAGTGGATAGAGAAAAATACTGTTAACTGATGGTACATGGAGGGGATTATAATCAATGTAATGAAACAAGGTATATGACTTGTTGAATATAAAACTGATGATATGCCCTGTAAACTTTCACTCAATCCACAATAAAAACCTTAAAAAAAAAAAACAGAACTGTAAGACTGAAAAGACAGAACCAGAGATACAGTTTGAACAACAACAAAAAAAATAAAAAGAAGGAATAATCCAGTTACAGGATTTCCAAATGAAGAGAAAATCAAATAGATTTCAAGAAAAAAAATAATAAACCTAACTGTAACTTAAAAAACTAGACCAAACCTTATTCCTAGTCCTAGCCCAACTCTTACCACCAATATTAATCCTAGTTCTAACCATAACCCTAACAATAAATGAAGTCCTAGGCCTAGTCATAGTCCCAATCCTAGCCCTCGCTCCTTACTCCTACCCACCCACCATCACCAAAATTGTACTAATGTAAGAAATTGTATGCATGGGGAACTCCGTAAATCTGCTCTAAAAATAAAGTCTATTACAGGGAATAAAAAGACCATTTAAGGTATAGTTTAAGAACCTGATAAAATAAAACTCTTTTTTGAATAAATGGCAGTTTAAGAGTACTTGTGGTTAACAGACCACCACCACATGAGGCTAAAACAGTCAGATTCCCTAGTCTTACTTAACATGCTCCTTACCAATCTTCCAGTTTCAGCTCATGAAGTGTCTTTCGATCCTTCTGTTTTCTCTCCTGAACAGTCTCACCATGATACTTCTGAAGCATTATCAGCAGGCTTCCTATAGGAGTGCTAAAGAGAAAGCAGAAGGAAAACTTAGTGGAAATGTCATTAGAACAGCAACAACTGAGGCATGAGCAACTCCACTGAACCACTTGTTCATAAACTGCTACAGGAACATTTGACAATTAGGAGATCTTTGTCAAATAAAGAAAAAAATACTGAGGCAATTTCCTTCCTGATCTGAATAACAATCGCTGCAAATCCCTAGGGGTAACTGGTATAAACAACAACAGGCTTATCTTACACATTGGTTGGGCTTTGTTTTCAATCATAAATAAGGACAAGGAGGGAAATATGCATATTTATGTCAAGTTCTAATAAGTATCTCTATACTTCAGGTTTCTCAGAAATGAGATTAAGGTTTAGGATGATTCCAGGTATCCTGTTGTTGTTGTTGTTAAGTACCATGGAGTCAGTTCTGACTCATAGTGACCCTGCACAGGGTTTCCGAGGCTGCAAACCTTCACAGGAGCAGAAAGCCTCATCTTTCTTCCACGGAACAGCTGGTAGTTTTGAAATGCTGAACTTGAGGTTAGCAGCCCAATCCATAACCACTATGCTACCAGAGCTCCTTCCAGGCCCCCTAGGGAGCTGGAAATATAGAGGACAATTTTTATTTGGAGGAGGGGAGGCTGACTTTGGGGGTGGTTGCACCAAAACACCCTAAAATTCAAGAGTCTGGTACAATCGTCCTTTCGAAAATGCCAACAGTTACCCATTGAGATACTCATTTAGATTACAAGAATTTGGTCATTTTCGCTAAGAGAAAGAACTTCTTAATCAGAAGTAATTTCAATTCCCTCTGCTACAATGCAAGTGTTGTTGTGTGCTGTTGAATCGGGTCTGACTCATAGAAACCCATACAGAGTTTCCAAGAGCGGCTGCTGACTCAGAAAATCCCGCGTAGGGTTTCTGAGAGCAGCTGCTGGTAAGCCAACATTGCGGTTACTTGTCCAATATTTATCATCCTTCAATGCCACACCAGGGATAACAACTTAAGCAGCCTTATTTTAAAAATTACTTCTGCTGCTAACTTCAACTTTTCCCTTCAAATCAAACTGGTATATTATATTAATATGATGATAAAAATAATGTCATCAATAAATATGATATGCTGAGTTTAAAAAAAAAAAAATCCCAAAGTCTACAGGTGTCCTCCCCTCAAAGAAGAGGAGTGGGTAGATACAGGGAAGGGCAAGTTCTTCTATTCAAAAGAATTCCAATTAATAAAAACAGAAGGTTCGACAAGACCAGCAAATCACTATTCTGACAACTACCTTTAATAAATTATTATAGCAAGAATCATCAGTGAATACTGTTTGGGAAGCAGGATAATTGTACAGACTTACCCTACAGATTACTTGCTAATTAAAATGTGGAAATAATATCTCTGTACTGGAGAAGTTGAGTAGATACTACCTTGATCAAGTATGATAGGAACCATTCTAAAATGGTCCCCCCAAATTTCCTGTCCTAGCCCTCCAACTATGAATATGATTGGATACTATGCCTGTGATTATGTTATATTGCATACAAAAATGGATAATGCAGATGTAATCAAAGTTTCTGTTCAGTTGGACTTGAATTAATCAAAGTGATTCTCTGGGTGAACCCTTTAAAAGCCCAGAGTTTTCTGTAGCTAGTGGTGGTAGAGAAATCTGAAGAATGAGAAGGACTCAATGAGCCACTGCTCATTTGTAGTTTTAATAGAAGGTGCTTGTTAACCAGTTCTTAATCCTTTTCCCTGCTTACTTATGTTTTTGTTGTTGTTATGTGCCATGGAGTCGGTTCCAACTCATAGTGACCCTGTACAGGGTTTCCAAGGCTGTAAATCTTTATGGGAGCAGAAAGCCTCATCTTTCTCCCACGGAACAGCTGGTAGTTTCGAACTGCTGAACTTGTGGTTCACAGCCCGATTATAAATACCTTTTTTCATGCTACAAATAGTTTCAAATATTAATAGTATTTAAACAATTTTTTGTCCTGTGTAAACTAAACAGTTGAGCTAGAATTAGAATTGAACAGTCAAAAGCACTGTCAATCCAAGACTAGAGACTTTAATAGGCTCTAAGGATTAAGGGATTTTTAGCAAGTAAAGCATTAATGAATGCTGTGTCAATTTAAAATCAAACCATGTTAATTTAACACTTACCCCAGCAAAGCTCCAATTATACCACCAGCCACCAAACCACGAAGGCCTAAATTGATTCTGAAAAGACTTCCTGTGACAGCTATTTTTAAACAAACAAACAAAAAGCCAATATTAAATCATCTTTAAACACTAGAATTCCTTTTTTTTCCCCCACTTCTTTCTAAAAATGGACATAAACTTCTAATTAAGCTTTCTGAATCCAACCACTACAGTCTAAATTTTCTGTATCTAAAATACCAATACAGCTAGCTTCTCATTCTCTCTGCAGGTCTGAATGAAGAAATAAATGTCCCTTTACAAAGCTATCCATTGCTGTGGAGTTCATTCTGACTCATAGTGACCCTATGGAACATAGTACAATTGGAGGCTCCCTAAGGTTTCCAACACTGTAAATCTTTACTGAATAAGACTACCACATCTTTTAAACAGACCACCTTTTGTTTAGCAGCCAAGGGCTTAACCACCATATCACCAAGGCTCCTTTTTACAAAACCCTCAACATGTTCTATGGATTCAACATCTCATTGTTTCCTTTTTTCTACGTTCCTTTAAAATCTAGTTTCTTCCTTTCCATCTCTTTCTTTCTTTTCTTCCTTCAAGAAAACCGTCCTTAAAATGGGAAAAAAAATCTTTACTGGATTCCAGCTTATGTCATCCCATAGCCTCACCATTTGTGTACTACTCAACACTACACCTCCCAAGCAGGCCTACAAAGCTGGAAGGACATGGCCTTTACTACCACCTGGTGGCTGGTGCACAAAACTTCTTTTCTTCTCACTGAGATTGTACAGTCAGGTTCATTCATTATCTTCATCCACTAAACTTAACAAATGCAATCTCAGGTGGAAACATGTTTTAAAATAACATTTGAGTTCTTACATTATAAAAAGTTGTTGCTGTTGTTTAGTTCCATCGTTCGGACTCGTAGCTACGCTGTATAGGGTTTTTGAGGCTGTTTATTTTTATGGGAGAGTCCTGGTGTGGCGCTGTGGGTTAATGTGGTAGATTGCAAAGTCGCTTTGAACCACAAGATCGACGGTTCAAGCTTACTAGCTGCTCTTCACAAACCCTATATAGGGTCGCTATGAGTCGATACCGACTCAACAACACTTAACAACAACAACAACAATCTTTCCAGGAACAGAAAACCTCATCTTTCTCCCATGGATCACCTCCCAGGCTAGAATAGCTAACTATGTGGTTTGCAGTCCAGTGCTTATCATAGAGAACCACCACACTCCCCTACTGTGAAAAGCAATATGTGAAAAGTAATATATGTTCCTTTTTTTTTTAAGGTTTTACTATGGGTTGAGTAAAAGTTTACAGGGCAGATCACCAATTTTACATTCAACAAATCATATAACTTGTTTCATAACAATGATTACAATCCCCTATATGTACCATCGGTTAACGGTGTTTCTCTCTATTCACTTTAGCTTTTTTTTTTTCCTTTTCTTTTAAAAAACTCAGGCAAATATAATTTACACCACCAAAGGGCACATTCTGCAAGTCTGCCTCCTGGCCACTATCTCTTGTCTTTTTCTTCCAATGAATCTAGGGTCCTCAGCTACTACCCCTCTTCATATCCCCATCTCTGCCTCAATCTCTGGTGTTGCTGCTTCTCTGGATAAGGTTCCGCATTCCACATGTGCTCTTCTCCCTTGATGGTCCTAGGGTCCTCTGTTTCTGGACTGTAAGGTTAACTACTCCGCCATTTTTGTTGCAAAACTTCTACCTTTACAATTGTGACAGTAGCAATTAGTCATGATAACAATTACTCACTATTGAATCATAAGAATCATATCCCCATCTCTTTTAACCAGACCCATCTAGACAAGATGAAAACTATTCAGTGGGGGCTCTTTCTGCCCCAACACATTCTTAAACTGCCTCTTGAAACCTTGTAAGCCAGTCACTTCATGACTTTATAGCCCGTTATTTTAGGTATCCAAAGTCTAGGCGACTCATCCCCATCTACCCGGTGTACAGAGGGGATAACATTGATACTTGATGTGAAGACTCCTTCCCTCTCTGTTGGTATTTAGAATTACTATCTCCATGCATATCCACCTCCCGTCTGTCAGTTTGTGGTACTGTGGTGGCTTGTGAGTTGCTGTGATTCTGAAAGTTATGCCATCAGTATTTTAAATAGCAGCAGGGTCACCCAGGGTGGACAGGTTTCAGATGAGCTTCCAGAAGAAGACACACTAGGAAGAAAGAGTAACGAACTACTACCAAATCTTTAGTAACTGAAAAGCTTATGAACAGCAGAGAAACACTGTCAGATATTGTGGTGGAAAATGAGCCCCTCAGGTTGGAAGGCA